AGGAAACACACAGCCTGTTTTCCGGTTAAAGCTGCTATTTTCTACTATGTTACAATATTCACATTATAACTCTGCACCCCTGCTGCTACATACCTTTCTGCAAATTGCGGAAGACTATTTTAATATTTTATTAACTCAACCATTCCTTCACAATTACAAGATTAATTGTTTTCTTTCAGCAGTCTCCTAATCATGAGTACAAACATTTTCTCTTCATTGACCTACATCTTGTCATTTCAAAACAACACAGAAAGAATAAATTAGACCTACATTCTCAACCCGTTGATTCTGGATCTGACCTTGTAATCTCTGTATTGAGCCTCATCTGCAGATTTTAGAAAATGTATTAAAGCTTGCTCCTATTGACCTTTAATAAGTTCTATCTCCAAAGATTCACATCAGGAAATGCATTATCTGTGTAGATAAAGCATTGTAATTGCTTAACCCATTCTTGGTCACATGGACAGCAGTGAATTTGACTAATTTAATCTTGGTTTCATTAAATAGTGACCTTAAAATCATAAAAATCATAGAACCATACAGTACAGAAGAGGTCCTTCAGCCCATTGAGTTTGTACTACCTTGTTATTGATATCTTTTCATCTTGGTGTGTTAATGAACAATTCTCCATTCCATATGGTTATGCATTTCAACAATTTTGAAATTAACCAATTGCTACGGGCAGTCATTCCAAAGAAATACTTTAGCATGTGACAATGCTGTCACTTTAAGAGATTATATTGTCCTGGTTGTTTTTAAGAGAGGTTGTAAGGCAGAGATGCCAAACTGGCTACTGAAGATGGCTTAAGTAAACAATGTGTGAGGCCTTTGGGTTTATTTTAAAATTTGGAACAATAGAAACAGCCTGAATGGGCGTTGCCAGCTCTCACAGACCAGGCTTTCCAGTTTCTTTCACTGTGGCAGTCAGAAGCTGTTTGGGGTCTCAGAAGAGTTGATTGTTTCAGGAAATGATTCCTAACTGGGTTATAACTCATTCAGAGATAGTAGGAACTGCCGATGCTGGAGTCTGAGATAACAAGGTGTGGAGCTGGAGGAACACAGCAGGCCAGGC